TTTTTGATTTTGTTTTTTTGTTTGTCTTATTATTTCGTGTTTTTTTTTGTTGAGGTTGTTCTTTTGTTTGTGTTTTTTGTTTTTTTGTACCCGTTGTGTTTCTTTTTTGTGTTTTCTATTTTATTTTCTTTTTTTGTTTTTTTTTTTTTTTGTTTTTTTTTTTTTTTTTTTTTTTTTTTTTTTTTTATTTTTTTTTTTTTATTTATGCGGTTTATACCTTTTTTTTTTTTTGTTGTTGTGCCTGGTTTTTTTGTCTTTTCTTTTTTTTCTTGGTTCTCTTGGTTGTTCTTTTTGTTTTTTTTTGTTTTTTCGTCTTTTTTTGTTTTTTTTTTTTTTTGTTTTTTTTTGTTTTATTGTTTTTTTTTGTTTTTTTTTATTTGGTTTTTTTTTTATTTTTTTTTGTTTTTTTATTTTTTTTTTTGTTTTTTATTTTTTATTGTTACCACTATAAAATACGCTCACCAATGCGATGTGCATTAGCTAGGACGTCCAGATTTGTTTACAGTTCTTTTTTCTCTCTTGAGGTACGAAGGGTCTTGCATGTGTGATCTCACACCATATTCCATAACATCTCTACTCTAGCAGTTATTATTAGTACTACTTGATAAAATGGATCTGAGGCCACGAGGATGTGCAGGGAGTTTGCGTTAGACTCACCCAGCATACCCTGTGCAGAGGACCGAGTGTCGAAGTGTTTTCATTGGATGTGGCTTTCTGGAGTATTACTCTCCACCACCATTTCACCAGCTCAGTCCAAATCAACTCAGCTCAAACACATTTAAGTCCGTCAGTCCAGCTCAACTAACCCCAACTGATTCTGACTTCATTCTTCAATTGAATTCAAATCAATTCAACATAATTTAATTAAACCCAAATCAAGCCCTTGTAATTCCGTTGGTATTTTATGAACAAACCCCACTGTATGTTTCATCTCCATTCTGTCCCCTGAGGCCTGCACTCAGCTCTGTTTTCCGTGATGACTGTGCAGATTTTGTTGTTTTTTTTTTTTTTTTTTTTTTGAGACAGAGTCTCACTCGTTACCTGGGTAGAGTGCCGTGGCGTCAGCCTAGCTCACAGCAACCTCAAAAATCCTGGGCTCAAGCAATCCTCCTGCCTCAGCTCCTGAGTAGCTGGGACTACAGGCATGCGCCACTATGCCGGCTAATTTTTTCTATAGTATTTTAGTTGTCCAATGAATTTCTTTCTATTTTTTAATACGAGACGCAGGGTCTAACTGGACACACACAGGGTAATAGACATCTAATGATACATTAATGGTTGACTCTGTGGTGGGTACATGAGTATTCACTACAAAACTCTTTTGACTTCTCTGCTTATTTGAAAAAAAAATTTTAAATAAAATATTGCACAGAAAATAAAGAGCCCTGTAAACTGTTAATTGCTAAAACATCAGTGGTGGTTAAAAATACAGCCTCTGGAGGCGAATTTCGTGAGTTCGATTCCCAGCTCTGCCTCTCCCTAGTTGTGTGACCCTGAGCAAGTGACTTCATCTCTCTGAGTGTTTGTTTCCTTATCTGTAAAATGGGAGCTATTAATAGTATTTACCTCATAGGGTTGTTGTGAGTATCAGAACAGAGCCTGGTACCTAATTAGTTCCCAATAAGCATTTGCTATGATTTGGTCCTCTAAACAACGCTGTGTAACGGGCACTGCGGTCTCCGTCTCACGCAGGAGGAAAGTGGGGCTCAGAGAGGTCCTGCAACTTTTCCCAGGTCACACAGCAGGAAGGGGCTAAATGGAAGAGGGGTCACAGGTTCCCAGAACTTGAAATAGTCCCCCAGACCCCAAGTCCTTTCCTTGGGCTCACCCGATAGGATGAAGAAGATGCCAGAAACGAAGGCCAAGATGGTCCTCTGAGGGCGGATGTGGCCGATGTTGCTGATGACGAAGGCCGTGAACACGAGGAAGAGACTGACCATGGGGAAGGGGGTGGCTGTGCGCACTGTCTCTGGGGGAGGGGGCGGGGAGAAGCAGGGGTGAGGGGACATCTCGGGCAGGACACTTACTTCCCCATTGCCTCGACCTCTCAGCTTCCACCATCTCTGCCCCTTAGTTCTGCTCCTCCCCTTCCCACTGACTCCTCCTCTTTCTCGGTAGGGCCAGCGCTGACTCCGCCCCTTTGCCCAGGCCCCGCCCCGTCCTGCTGACTCCTCCTCCTTCTCGATAGGGCCAGCGCTGACTCCGCCCCTTCACCAGGCCACGCCCCTCGGGTTGGCCCCGCCCCGTCCTGCTGACTCCTCCCCACCACCCAGACCCCCTTTCAACCTTACCTAACCACCTGCCTCCTCTCAAACCCCCACTCCTTCGCTTCGCCCCTGCGCGCTGGTCCTGCCCTTTCTCCCAAAACTCCCGCCCTGCGAATTTGCTCCTTTGCTGCCTACGCTCCCCCACGCCCCCTCACTCAGAATATTCTCCGTGTTTTCCGTCACCAAGTTGATCTCCGGTTCAAGAAAATATTCCGAGGCCACACAGCGACCCTTCTCCCGACCTGGGGAAGATAAAAAAGCAGGGCTCGAAGAGACTCCTAAGCCCTAGAGAGGCTCAGGGCAGGCTGCATAGCGGGAGACCCCGGTGGGGGGAGGATTCCAGGCCTCATCTAAGGGAACTACTCTTACTTTTAGGGGCTTGAGAAGGGGGTGGGCAGGATGTCTGACAGCTCCTCTTGTGAGCTGCTCTGGGGAGCCCTGGACAGATGGGGAGAGGGCTGGAACCGGGCCCTAAGCAAGGAGGCGGTTATGGACCAGGACCCCTGGGTCGCCAGAGAGGATAGGGTCTGGGGAGCCAGGACCCCTAGGTGGAAGGGGTCGGCGCTCGCTGGAGGCATGGATTCTTTATCCCGCCTATCCCACACTGCAGCTGTCCAGGGGACAAGCTCTGAACCTGGAGTACTGATTCTAAGGAAGGACTCGAGTTCCCATGGGGGTCAGGGACCTGAGCTTGTCTGAGCTTGGGGCTCCTAGATCCGGGGAATAAAAAGCTAGACATTGGAGCTCCTATTAGAAATTTGAACTCCAGGAGAGAAACAGGATAAGTTTCTGGATTTCTGGAACCCAAGGAGTGGCACTATGGATAAGGACTCTCCGGTCCCACGCAAGGCAGGAACAGTGGGTGGAGGGCAGGAACGGGCTGTACCTGCAAAGAAGCAGACTCGCCAGAGGCCGGCGTGCAGTGCCATCTTCACCTCGGTCGTCTGGTTCTGCGGCAGCACCGTGCCCTCCTCCATGTACAGCCAGTAGTCAGTGCTGACCGCAATGCCCACGAGGAGCAGGCCGCACGCACCAAACACGCTGCTCAGCAGGGTCAGGGCGCGGCTGCTACAGTGACTCATCCTCAGAGGCGGGGGGCGCCCTGCGGGGCCTGTGTGACCAGAAGCTTTGGTGGAGGCCCCCAGTGGACTGACCAAAGGCCCCGGCCCCGCGCAGCAACCCAGGAGGCTGGACCCTTGCCGGAGCACCAACTCCAAAAGCAAACTCTGAAATCTGACCTCTGTGGGTTGACTTATGACCTCAAGCCTGGGCTCTGACCAGAGACACCAACAGTTGACCCTCAATCTCAGCAGTGGGCTTCCCACACCCGCCACCTACGCTTTGGGTCTGGACCCAGGTCCTCCAGCCCAGGACAAGATTTCCAACGATAACCTTCAGCTCAGACCCAGAGATTGATTCCCAACTCCAGCCACATGTCTGGACCTGGGTCTTAAATATCAGAAATTCCTTTCTTTTTTTTGAGACAGAGTCTCACCCTGTTGCCCGGGCTAGAGTGCCATGGCGTCAGCCTAGCTCATAGCAACCTCAAACTCCTGGGCTCAAGCGATCCTCCTGCCTCAGCCTCTCGAGTAGCTGGGACTACAGGCATGCGCCACCATGCCCGACTAATTTTTTTTCTATGTATTTTTAGTTGGTCAATTAATTTCTTTCTATTTTTATTAGAGACGGGGTCTCACTTTTGCTCAGGTTGGTTTCGAACTCCTGACCTTGAGTTATCCCTCCCGACTCGGCCTCCCAGAGTGCTAGGATTACAGGCGTGAGCCACTGTGCCTGGCCAATATCAGAAATTCTAATTTCAGATTCTCAACCTCAGGACAAGACCTGAGACCCTAAGCTTAGAAATCAGAACCCACCAGAGTCCCCCTGGGCTGGTGACTCAGAAACTATTAGGCTGATCAATGACTTCAACTGTAGGACATGGCATCCCACAACACTGACTCTGCCCTGATGGAAGCCCCCAGCTGTGAACACAAGAATCCATAATCTCAGCTCTATGCCAGCACCTCTATGCCTGGACCTAGGGTACTGGGTTTGGACACTGGATGCTATACAACTTGACCTGTCCAGAAACTCTAACTCAAGTTCTCCAATCTTAACTCCATGCCCTCACCTGGCACCCTGATACCTTCCCTTTGGACCCTGTCTCTGAGCTGTAGCCAGAAATCCCCAAAGTGGGTCACCAACCAAGGATCCCTAACTCATACCCTGGCCTCAGACCCTTGACAGGCCTGTCTAAGCCTTCATGGGCTGAGGCCCCCACCCAAGTTGAGACACTTGGACTTACAGTCTAACACCCAATTCTAACACCAGGAATCTGGCCCATGACCTTCTAACGCTGATTGTGTGCCTTGACCTCAATTTGGTACACCAATCTGAGATCACAGCCCACAATCCAGATCCAAGTTCCAGAACCCTGATTCCACCCTCCCTGGACAGGCCCCTGAGCCTGGAAGGCTGGAACTCCTTCACAGGCTGCTGAGTCCCTGAGCACTGGGACCCAGGGACCTGGAGCCAGGATCTTGACTAGAAACACCAGAGTATCAAAATCATGAGCTGGGACGCCCCCAACCCAGTATCCTAACCAGAGCATCCCAGCCAAACAAGGAGCCCTTATCCTTCAAACTAGGAATCAGTGCTCTGAACTGTAAAATCCCAATCGGGAATTCCAGGGCCCCATCACATGATGCCTAAATTTCCTACCAGAGATCCTTGACCCCAGTTTCCTATGCTAGGATTTTTAATCATTAGACCCTCTTGAACATCCAACATGGAACCTAGATCGCCCTACACCGGACCCTCCAAACAAAGATCCGGGGTCATAGCTGTGGCCTTCCAAATTCCAGTCAGGAACTTAGAGATTCCAACTACGAAGCTCGTCAACCCCAGGACTCTAAATCCCTTATCCACGACCCTCACTCCCTCTCCTCAAGAACTTTCCCAGTGCCAGACAATCCCATGATTTGGGGGCTCAACTTGGGATCCTCAGCCTATTGAAACCAGAGACCTCCACCTCCCTGCATACCAGTGACCCCCATAATCTTTTTAACTATGAAATGTGAGACCCTCTAAACACTCTCCCAATAATGCAATCAAGACAGGAGACTCCACCTTTCCTAATCAGAATTCTCGTAGCCTTAAAACTCTGCTCTGTAAGTACCCTGGAGTCTGAGACAGGCCCCCTCACTCCCCACCCCTCCCACCCTGCACTCCCAGCATCCAGAGCACCCCCCCTTCCTGAAGGACTCAGGGATCCGGAGTCTGGCGAGGCTGTGGCCAGCTTTTCCTCCCATCCCCCGCCGGTGGCTCCGGGGCTTGACCGCCGGCTGCCGGCTCCTCTCTCGGCCCTCTCAGCTCAGACACTGGCGTCCTGACCCAGCCACCCTGACTGCCTTGGTCCCAGGTAGCTGACCTCAGCTTCCCCACCTGCCCCTCCGACTCCTGGCTGGGACCTTGCCCATTCTCACCGTCTCACTTCCCCCTTTAAAACCCCTCCTTTCTTGTTCCAATTTCTCCTCACTCGAAAGGGCCCGCCCAGATATCCTTATCCTCCAGCCCTTCCTCCTTTGGGACCCTCCCCCCAGGCTTGGAGCCTCCTTCTTGTCTTTCTTTATCCCAGCCTCTCCGGGTTCCGGCATTCGGGTCCCCGCGGTCCCATTCTTTGAGTCCTCAGCCCAAACTCCATCTCCCTTCGATCTCTTGGGAGGCCGTAACTCCCCCTTTGTGGGGACCCCCTCGCTAGACTCACCGCTGCCCTCGCCCTGCCCGGTCCTCCGCCTTCCTCGAGACCCCGGCCAGCACCCTGGCGGTGCCGGCTGTCTCTGAGACTCGCTCCTCCGAGCGTGTTTCCCCGCCCCGGGACCCCCCGACCCGTCCTCCGGGACTCGCCAGGCCCAGCGCCCCTCGGTCCCCACAGCCTCCCGGATTCGGGCGTCCTGACCGCCAGGACCCCAGCCCCGGGGCCACCCGGACCTCCTTCGCCCCGGCCCCCTCCCGCGCCACCTCGAGGGGCGCCCTCTTGGCGGCCGGGACCCTCCCCTCGCGCTCACCTCGCTCAGGGCTGGGCGGACGCTCCGGGCCGCGGGCCCCGCAGCCGCATGACCGGCCCCGCGGCTTCCCCCGGCCGCCGCCGCCGCCACGGCTCGCGGTGCCCGCGCCCCCGCCCGGCCCGAGCCCGGCGTCCGGCCCTCCGGCCTCCGCCCCCCCGCCCCCGCGCCCGCGGCCTCACTCGGCAGACGGAGCCGGGAGCAGGCGCCGGCGGCCGCTCATTGGCTGCTGCGGAGGAGGGGAGGGGCGGGGAGGGAGGGGAGGATGCGGGGAGGCAGGAGATGGGCCTTGAGGATGGGGGAGGCAGAGAAGGAGAGAGAATAGAAACAGAGGCAGAGAGCCGAGAGGGGCAGAGGCACGAGGAGAGTCAGAGCAGAGACGCTGAGCCCGAGAATTCAGAGACTCGCGCGTCTGGAGGCCGAAGGGGACACAGAGACAAGGAGAGACAGAGACGGAGTTTAAGACCCCCACGCCACCACCGCCTAGCTCAGAGACCCTGAGGCCCTGAAGTGGAGAGGTCAGGGACCCAGAAAGGGACAGAAAGAGACGGAGAGACGCTCAGAGGCCTCGGGCTGAGAGACGCCAAGACCCAGAGACCTTGAGCTTGGAGAAGAGACAGAGAGAGACAGAGAGACAGAGACCCTGAGGAGGAGAGACAGCAGGGGCAATCCCGGGGTCCCCTGACGAGGACTGGGGTCTATCCAGGCCCCGGGCCGAGCCTGGGGCCGGGGCGGCTGGACGGAGCGGGAGGGGCGTCCCGGGCCGGGGTCCGAGCAGCGGGCGCAGAGCGAGCCGGGTCCTGCAGCCGCCGCGGAGCCGGAGCCGGGCCAGGCCCCCCGCCCCCCCGCCGTGATGTCAGCGGGGCCACTCTTAAAGGGGCAGGCCGCCCGCCGAGGGTCGGAGCGGGGGCTGGGGCCTGCGGGCACGGGTGGGGGTACCGCGGCAGAGATGGGGGACACAGGGGGAGCCACCGCATCCAGCTGGACCGGGGCCCGGAAACCCAGGAGCCTGCAGAGAAGACGAGACTTCGGGGCCGCGAGGGAGCCTGCGAAGCTCTGGGGCTCAGCCCCCTCCAAACACACAGGCATAGGCACACCGCTCTGCCGGCCGGCCCCTGCCCGAGGACTACATTTCCCGTCAGCCCTGGAGGCGAGGGGCCGCACTTGGGGGAAGGGTCTGCAGCGCTGTCTACTGGGAAATGTAGTCCATTGGGCTGTCCCCTCCGCTCCGCCGACCCGCAAGTGGGTCAGGGGAAGGAGGCCCGGAAGACGCGTCCGCCTGCCTTCTGCCTCAGCCGCTGGTTCTTGAGCTCACGGGTTTCTCTGTCGTGGGGTCTCTTCCCCTGATCCAGTCTCTAGTCTCCCAGTAGGAGGCCAGCCTTTCGTCTCCTTCTCCCCAGCCCCTGCTCCAGTGCATGTGCGTGCCGCGTCTCTGTGCCGGGGTCCCTGGCGCCGTCAGTGATGTGGGGGTACGTCCGTCATCGCGCACCGTGTCCACTTTGGTCCCCTCTCTGCGTTCTGTGTGTGTGCGTGTCGCTTCTCTGCTCTTTCAGGTGTCTCCGCTCTTTTCCTCCCCCTCATGCTGCGGGTCCCTTCTCTCTCACTTTATGGGTCTCTGCTTTCCCTCTATCCTGCACCCCCCGCCTGTCTCCTCTGTGTTTGTTTCTATGTACAGTTCCACCTCCACACCCCCTTCATTCTCCCAGCTTGCAAGAAAACATCCAAACACTCCGGCATCGGCATCCCAAATTTATTCTCCAGCAGCTGTGGCTGGGTGGGAGAGGCTAAGGGGAGGAGGAGGAGAGATTCCCAGAAAATGGCAGGCACTGGGGAGGAGAGGGGGTTTCCGAGCAAGACTGGAGCCATGCACCGGCAGGCGTGGTGGGAGGGGGTGATGTATGAGCAGTGATGGGTTTGGGGTGGGGAAGTCCAGAACAAAAGCTAACTGGGAACAGTTGGGGAAAGAATCCTTCATATATCCCAAGGATCCCCAGAGCATAGATGGGGGCACAGCCTCCCACTTACTCTAGAACTGGAGTGGAGGTGGGAGGGGCCTTAGAGGTTCAGGTTTGTTCTGGAATCTGAGTCTGGAACAGCCAACCCCATGAGGCTATTTCTGGGGTTGGGGGAGGCATAGAACTACCAAGACACAGTCTCAAACCCCATGGAGTTGGGATGGTGGTGGTGTTTCTGGAACCTGTCGGAGCGGAGTCCAGAACGCTAAGGTGGCGGAGAATATAGGGCTTAGCACGACAGAACCTAGAACACGGGGCGGCTCTAGACACTGTGGGGAGTTTAGAATGCCAGGAACGCTTGGGAGGGGCGTCTAGACCCCGCGAGGGCAGAGGCCAGAATGCTGGGATGCAGGATCTGGAATCGGGAAGGGGGTGGTGCAGGTGGCGTGGCGGAGGGGACACTGGAGACACCTAGTGGCGGCAGGTGAGATTACATGACTGGCACAGGCACGGGGCTGGTGGGGCTGCGGGCGTCCGGGTGCACGAAATCGGGGTTAACGTAGGTGAAGCCCTGGAAATCGGCCTGGTCTATGCTGGCCAGGACTAGGCGGTCTGGGGGGGTCAGCGCTGGCGCTGCCCGCGTGAAGAACTTGTCGAAGTTCTCGCCGCTGCGGCCGCACTGTGGGAAACGGGAGGAGGGAAAGTTAGGAGCTCTGCCTGCTCCCTGGGTGTCCCCCCTGCGTGCGTCTCGCCTCTGCCGCAGGACCTCCGCGTCCTCCGTGGTCTCCGCATCTCCCTTTAGGGAGGTCCACAGAGGGATCCCACCCCACCTCCGCATGCTCGTGGTACCCCGTCCTCCCAGGGACCACGGTTTTTGTTTTTTGGGGTTTTTTGCCCGGTGACTGACCGGGCGCGGTCTGAATGGAGGCGCAATCTCCAACCGTTCCAGCCGCTCCCAGTCGATCCAGCGGAAAAAGCCATGTGCACGGATGGTGGGTTCCCCATCTGGCCCGGAGCCCAGGCGCTTCCCCGGGTGCTTGGTCAGGAACTGTGGGAAACACAGAGAGAGAGACAGACGGACAGACAGAGTCCCAGACAGGGAGACCCAGAACAAGAAACAGAAAGACAAGGACAGAGGAGCCAAGAGACACAGGCGTGAGGTCCAGAGAGAACAGCAAGGGGAAACAGAGAGGAAGATGGGGGGGGGGGAGAACGGGAGAGAAGAAGAGGGAGAATAAACGAGAATGGGAATAAATGAAATCCAGACCCAGAGACCCAAGGTCAGACAAAGAGGAAAAAGCAGGGTGTGAGATTGTGAGGGGCAGAGAAACCAGAAAGAGGAAGGGACATGGGGAAGAATCCCGGATGGGGATGAGAAGAGGGAGGAGAGATTGGGGATCCAGAGAAAAGGAGGAATAAAGATTCAGACAGGGGTATAGAGACCCATGGGGAGGGCAGAGACCCAGAGAAGGAAGGAGACAGAAGAGACCCAGGACACAAACACCCAGAGGGAGGGGAAAGACCCAACGTGAGGGCGGAGACCCAGGGAAAGGGGAGGACAGACAGCGGAGAAAGGAGAGACAGAAGCAGAGTGCGTGTGTATGACAGTCAGGGACCAGCACAGCGGGGAGAGGGACAAAAGGGTGGACAGAGGTACAGAAGGAGACACAGAGAAAAGGCAGAAACACAGAAAGCCCCGTCATATGTAGGTAGACGGAGGCAGAGGTATGAGACACAAACCGGGGAGAGACAGTCAGAAAGACGGGGAGAGGGGAGCTGGAAGCAGAGGCGTGCTAACAGTTGTTGAAAACCTGCTCTGGGCCAGCACTTTCTCCTGCATTAACCCCATAACACAGGAAGAGGAGGCTGAGGCTCACCAAGTTTTGGTGACTGGCCGCAGGAAGGAGAACTGCAGAAGTTAAGTCTACCTGACCCACTCAGTCCTGGGAAGACAGGCCCTGGCCTTTCAGCACTTCCTGAGAGCAGGGAGCTGGGGAGTGGCAGGCCAGGCCACAGAGGAGGATGAGATAGAGGCATTCTCAGACCCAGGTGGCAGCAGGGCAACAAGCCATTATAAAAAAAAAACCCATGTACTACATCAACTTTCCCAGCAGATGAAAGTGAAGTGACTTGAGGAGTGGGAGCCTTTTTTGCTAATGGGCACAGAGGCAGCAATGGAGGGCACGGGTTGTGAGTCTGGGGAAGCTGGGAGTTAGGGGGGCTCTCACCCCCTTGCAGATGGCCACGGCTTCCCGGGAAAGTGACTTGGGGTAAGTGACAGTTTGTTCCATGATGGCCTGGAACAGCTCCTCCTCGTCCTCCCCATCGAATGGAGGCTATGAAAGTGGAGGGGACAAAGAGTCAGAGGTTGCCAAGCTGCCTTTCCCACGCCCTTATCTTCCACCATGAACCTGACTGACCGGTGACATCAGCCCCTCACTGCTTGCTTCCTAGGGAGAGATTTGGCCAAACCACTAAAGCTTTGCCTTTCTCCCTCCCCAACCCCACAGTTCCCTAGGTGTATCTCCTTGCTTCTGCTAGGTGTATCTCTTTACTGCTCTGCCTCTCTTTATCTGCTATGTATATCAGCAGGGTGTTAATTAGGCAATATGTTGTTTAAATAGAAGAGAGAAAAGACTGCAGGAAACATCATAAAAACATTCTCCTGGTTGGATGGGTTGTCAGTCTTCTGGGGTTAGGAAAAGCAATACCAAGGCAAGGATTCCTCTGTACACAACTGAGGGGTCTGTGAACTTGGATGGGAAAAAAGTGCATCTTTATTTTTTTTAAAACTTCTAACTGAAATTCAGCATTTCCTTCAATTATGAATGTAGGCAGCAGCAGTACTTGTGATTTCATCACCAAGAGAAATGACAGATATTTTCTTATCACATGAGAGTTGTTAATATTTCAAATGATCAATCATTCCTACTTCAAAATACCTTTCTACTTCCAATTACCATTAAAGCTTACTATGTAATGTATTAATAAGAAATCACATATAGTCCATATCCCAATTTTTAATATTTAGACAACTGTATACATTTAAATTAATTTAGTTGTTTGGGTTCGATTCACTTAAGTTTTAAAATTTTGGTAACTATATTTCAATATGATTGATTTCTTTGGGGGTTTTGGGGGTGCATTCATTATTTTATTTTGTGCATTTAAAACATTCTTCTAAGAAGGGGTCTATAGGCTTAATCAGACTGCTACTTTAGCATGTAGGAAGAAGGGGTTCATGGTATCAAAACAAAGAAAAAGGTTAAGAACCCCTGGTCTATAGTAAGATAATAGTTCAGGACCATGGACAGCGCTGCCCGGTTGCAACCTTCTTCGCTGGGCATGCCTCCGTTAGACTATAGACCTCGTTTCTAATCTGCTCTTCCTCAGAAAAAGGACATGTACAAGTGACATCCCACTCTGCATTGCCATTAGCCACATCAGCTTCTCCCCATCTTCCCTTACCTGTCCTGCCAACATCTCATACAGCAGAACTCCGAAAGACCACCAATCGACAGACTTCCCATAGGGCTGGTAGGCAATAATCTATCGGGGAAGGTGGGAGGCAGGGAATCATGATTTGTTCTTTAAGAAGCCTACGACCCCTTTGGTCTTACCCTGGGAGCTGTACCCACTTTAAGTGCTTTCAGCACAAGCTTTTTCCACTCTGAATATTTTGGCCAGGGCTCCACACTTTGAAACATTCAGGAAACAAATTTACCTATTTAGAACATTCCTTTGGTCTCAAATATAAAGATTACCTAAGGGTCAAATTACAAATTTCACCCACCTAGAACATTTTGGTAACTAGACCCTCAACTTCAAATGCCAGATGTATAAGGCTAGATTTCAGAGACCAGAGATTCTTAAACCTGGATGCATATCAGGCTCATCTAAGGGGCTATTTGAAAAATAGATGTTTCTATTAAAATACCACATGTGCCTCCCAAATTTTGTACAACTATGATGTATCAATAACAAATAAGAAAATAATAGATGTTCCCATCCCTGAAGAATTCCAACCTCAACAGGCCAGAGTCAGAGTCAGGAATATGTGTGTATGTTTCAAATTTTTCAGAGGTGATTCTGATTACCAGCTGGGTTGTGTGATCACTGACATGGATTGTTTGGGCATCGATCACTTGAAAAGATCAAACAGCACCACCACCAACACAACCTCCTCCCCTACTTAGAAAATTCATGGCAGGTGCTCTGACTATTCACTTATGTGTACATTCTGAATGTCAGCTCCACTGCCTCAACCAAGCCAGAGCAATACTCCATCCACTTAAAATCCTCAGGGGCCAGCATCTGCTCCCCAAGAGGAGTCTTGGGGAGCTGACCCTGTCCTCTTAGAATGTCCAACACAGAAGGCCAGACCACTTAGATCAGAGAGCCATGTACAATATTTATGAAATGAGCGCCCATCCAACTGAACACTGCAGGGCAAGCCCTGCCCAGTCAGAATGTTCAGAAGGCAGCCTCCACATGCTCAGTGTTCTCAGGGGACAGGCCACACCCACTCAGAGTACACTAGAAATAGTCTCCACCTTCTTGGCATGGTCCAGGAACAGGCCCTACTCAGAATGCCTACGAGCTGGTCCCACTCTCTTAGAACATTCACCCACAGGTCCTGCCCACCTTACCTATTTAGAGACCCAGCTCCACCCACTTAGAATGCTCAGCCACAGAGCTCACCTGTGCTGGTCTGACAATGGAGGGAGACCATGCTGAGTAAGAACGCCCACCACTCATGACAAGGGCCCAGGGTCAGACTTCACCCATTGTGAACACTGGACAATCAGCCACACCCACTAAGGGATCTCGGAGGGCACCCAGAGCGGTGAGTAGGGTTACCTCGGGGGCTATGTAGTCCGGGGTCCCGCAGAAGGTGCGGGTAGTCGTCCCAGGGAAGACATTCTCCTTACACATGCCGAAGTCTGTGATCTTAATGTGTCCTTCTGCATCAAGCATCACATTGTCCAGTTTCAGGTCCCTGGAGGATGGGGGTGTGGGGTAGGGATTGCAGGGAGGGGTGAGTTCACCGGGTTGGAGCTGTATGTTCGAATCCCTTCCCCTCTAGTCCCCTCTAGGGTTCATTTCCCTCCGTGGAAAGTCCTGGGCTGCTCACCTGTAGATGATGCCTTGATTGTGAAGGAAGAAGAGGCCAATGGCGATTTCTGCCGCGTAGAACCTGGAGGAGCAGGTGGGAAGTCGGAAGGTCAATGTCTGGACCCTGCCCTCTTCCACCTTCCCCTCCCTTCTCTCCTGGCTGAGACTCACGCTGCATGGGGCTCCTTAAACTTGCCCAACTGCTGAATGTGGTACATCAAGTCTCCCCCGGTGACATACTCCATCACGAAATACAGACGATCCTGGGGAGGAGCGGGTGGGCTTAGAGGCGGGGCACACCTACCTGGGGCAGGAAAAGTCCTTTCCTACCAGCTCAGGACATACGCGGAAGGCTCTGGATCCACCCAACCAGAAATCCAGAGCGCCTGGCTTCGCACACTGGCGAGCCCTAAGGTTCTAAGCCTGCTACCCCAGAATCTCCACCTGCCAGATCCCCTGTTTCTCTGTCTGTGTTCGGACCCTGCCTTCTCAAAATTGAAGATTGAGGAAAACCGGGGATGCCAAATCTTCTTTCCACAGCCGCTCACACACATATGCAACTCTGGCCATCTGTTAGGGACCAAAGTTGTTCCAGCTTCACCTGCAATTTTTTTTTTTTTTTTTGAGACAGAGTCTCACTTTGTTGCCCAGGCTAGAGTGAGTGCCGTGGCGTCAGCCTGGCTCACAGCAACCTCAATCTCCGGGGCTCAGCGATCCTACTGCCTTAGCCTCCCGAGTAGCTGGGACTACAGGCATGTGCCACCATGCCCGGCTAATTTTTTGTATATATATATTTTAGTTGGTCAATTAATTTATTTCTATTTTTGGTAGAGACGGGGTCTCGCTCAGGCTGGTTTCGAACTCCTGACCTTGAGCAATCCGCCCGCCGCGGCCTCCCAAAGTGCTAGGATTACAGGTGTGAGCCACCACGCCCGGCCTGACCTGCAATTTTTTTTCATGCCTTCTCAAAACCCTGAAGTTTCTGACTCTTTGCCCCATGCTGCATTCTTAGGGAAATGCTTCATTTCTGGAGTGTCCTTCAATCATAATCCAAAAATGATGACCTTGTCACTCGAAATCCAACACTGGGCAGCCCACTCTGAAGGCATTCTCCTCCATTCCTTTGCTCAAAAATCCGGGGTGCTGGCTACACCCACTCAGGACCAAACTCGTCCCCGGCAACATGCATGCTGGCCACGCCCACTCAGGAGCCCACCGTGTGGCCACGCCCCCAGAGCCCCCCCGCATTCTGGCCACGCCCACCCAGGAGCCCACCGTGTGGCCACGCCCCCAGAGCACCTGCGTTCTGGCCACGCCCACCAAGGAGCCCACCGTGTGGCCACGCCCCCAGAGCACCTGCGTTCTGGCCACGCCCACTCAGAGAGGACAAGGTTCTTTTGCATTGTCCTAAACTCAGACGCCCAAAGCAGATGCCTGATCCATCCAGAGGGGGACGAGACAGGGCACCGGCCCCGGGGCCAGCCTCTGCGCCCTCCTTTCTTACCGGAGTCTGGAAGGTGGAGTGCAGCTGGGTGAGAAAGTGGGGCCTGCCGCCAGGACCTCGGCCCCCCAGCGCCAGCACACGTTTCTCCACCAGGGTGCAGTCCACGTCGTCATCCTGGACGATCACGTCCTTTTTCAAGATCTTGATGGCATACAGCTCATCGGAGCCCCTGCGTTCGGCCAGCATCACCTAAGGACAGAGGTCCAAAGGCCCAGTCCGTCTGGGGAACCCAGCCGTGAGAACCTGCCCCTTCCTTTCAGGGACACAGAGAAACAGGATCTCAGGTCCTTCCTCCCTCTTAAGGGACGGGGTGCCCTGACCTTTCTGCCCACACCCTCAGGAAAGGTGTCCACATCTTTATACCTCTCCTTTCCAGGAACTCCAGTGACCCAACCAAACCATATCGGGGGATACAAGACCTTAGTATCCCTCTACTCCCACTTCCTCCCCACAGACATCCTCCCTTTTTCCCAGAACCCCAGGAATCCAACCTTCCCAAAGCTGCCTTTTCCTAGAACCATGAGGAAGCTGAAGTCCGAGATGTGCAGGCGTCCTGGGCCGGCCCCGAAGAAGCAGCGCTTGGGGTCGGTGGGACTCGGGGAAGGGGAGGGAATGGGAGAGGAAGAGGGGCCCATCCGCACCCGCTGTGAGAAAGAGAGACAGATCCAGAGGGAGTCATACCCCACACATGGACGAGGAGACACCCCCCCCCAGAGAGACAGCATCTAAGAATGAGAGGGATGTAGGGGGGAAAGAGACAGAGAGACAGAAAGAGAGAAATTGCCATCCTTCCACCCCATCCTTGGCTTAATTTTCTCTGACTTTTCATAGCCTGGGGGGTTTATTTATTATTGAGCTAACACTTAGCTTACTCTGTGCCATCTCTGGAAACCCAGCTATCATCCCCATTTTACAGAAGAGGAAACTGGCACACGCACATTAGGCGACTTGCCCAAAGTCACGTAGCGGGTAAAGAGCAGAGCCGGAAACCACACCCAAGCAGCTCAGCTCTGGAGTCTCTGCTGTTCACCTCTGAGCCAGCACCCCTTGGAGAGCTTGGCAAAACAGATGGCTGGGTGCCCCTCCCAGATTTGCTGATTCCTTAAATCTGGGGCAGGACCCAAGAGCCTGCCTTTCTAACCAGTCCCCAGGTGCTGCGGCTGTTGCAGGCCATCTGGGGACCACAGCCCTTTGCTAGGGCGCCTTCTCTACCTCTTCCCAGGAGGGGCGCCCCTGGCTGAACTGCTGTGATGGCTTCCACACCTGTCCCCACATTGACTGCTGCCCTTTCTAAAGCATTCTCTACTCAGCAGGCAGAGGGACCAATTTAAAAATAAATAAACCAGGTCATGTCTCCCCTATGCTTGCAAACCCTCTAATAGCTTCTCTCTCTGTTAGGATTTTATTCCATGTGGCTTGCAAAGCCACGCTCTGCTGACCCTGCTCTTCTCCCTCTCTCCTCCGTGATCTGGCCACCCCGGCCTCATGTGCTGTGCTCCCTCCCACGTCAGGGACTTCGAATTTCTTCCTGAAAAACTCTCCCCTCCCCTTTCCTCTTAGTTTCCTCTCAAACATCCTTTGTGTAGCCCTTGACTCAAACTCACTTCCTAGAGGCCTCTTTGGACTTTTTAACCTTTTCAAGTGCCTCTCTCAGCTCCCTTTGCCACCGGGGACTGTGTCTTGGTAGCATTTCTCTTAGCAATGCACATCTGTCTATGTGACTGTCTGCTTACTGTCTGTGCGCTCCCTAAGACAGGGCTTGGTTTTGTTTTCCAAGACATGGTAACAGAGCCCGGGACGTAGTTGGGGCTAACACGAGATTTACTGAATGACACAGTCTTGTGCAGAAGAGCAGTCTGACGGCCTGTGTTCCGGTCCAGCTCTGCCACTTGTTGGGACATCTAACCTTGTCTACAAAGCAGGGACAATCAGACTATCTCCCACATAGACACGTTGTGAATGTCAGCTACATAAACACATGCAAGGCCGGGCGCGGTGGCTCATGCCTGTAATCCTAGCACTCTGGGAGCCCGAGGCAGGTGGATTGCTCAAGGTCAGGAGTTCGAAACCAGCCTGAACAAGAGCGAGACCCTGTCTCTACTATAAATAGAAAGAAATTAATTGGCCAACTAATATATATAGAAAAACTTAGCCGGGCATGGTGGCGCATGCCTGTAGTCCCAGCTACTTGGGAGGCTGAGGCAGAAGGATCACTCGAGCCCAGGAGTTTGAGGTTGCTGTGAGCTAGGCTGACGCCACGGCACTCACTCTAGCCCGGGCAACAAAGTGAGACTCTGTCTCAAAAAAAAAAATAAAATAAAAAAAATAAACACATGCAAAGCACTTGCAGCAGTGCCTGGAATGCAATAAAGGCCGCTTGTGTTTGCTATATTGTTACCCTGGTACCTAGCTCAGGGTTTGGCACATAGTAGGTGCTCATTGATAATATTAATTGGCTCCTACTGACTGACTTGTGGGAGACAGGTGTGAACAGCAACAGGGACATACACTATGCCCGACTTCCTGCCTCCACGCCTTTGACCACCTTCTGCCAGGTCTCCCTAGACTAAACCTCTCAGTTAAATGCACAGGAAGATCATCCAAAAGACTCCACCTCTCTGGGCCACAATTTCCTCCCACTGTTATTCCTGTCTCCTGCGCAGCCAGTTCTCAACCTTAACTGTGCAGAAGAACCACCTAAGAATTTAATATGCAGACATTCAAGCCATTTAAAGAGATTCTCAACAAAATTAAAAGATAAACAATAAAAAGATTCTCACTAAGTAGGTCTGCAGAGAGGCCAAGAAATATGCATTTTAAAGCAAGCACTCTTGCAATTCTGTTGCAGTGGACATAAACAGCACTTGGAAAGTTTCTATAAGAGTCAAGGAAAGTCTAGATAGCAAATCGGTATTGTTCAATGTTCGACATTCTTATTGCCAGTATTTGTTTTTCAGGTGTCAACCTCAATGTCACCTCTTCCGGGAAGCCCCAAGCTGGTTGTTGATGGCCCCTTTGTGCTCCTACAATGTCTCCATTGTAGCATGTCACGATGGTTTATGTTTTAAGGTTCCAAGTAAGGTAAAGCCAGAGAGTGTGTGTCTCCTTCCTTTCCATTTCTCTAGCATCGCCTAGCACGCAGTTCGGTGCACAAAAGGTCTTTGCAAAAGGCTACAGAATAGATGAAAGTCTCAAGAATCAGGTGCTGAATGCCCTTCCCATTGCCTCAACCTTCAGAGGATACCCATCCGCGTGGGAGACCCACCCCCGTGTGGGTCTCCACAGTAGCCTCCTTGCTGCTACTTCACCTTCTACATAGAGCCAGCGTCAGCCCACCCTTTTTCTCAGAGCCCTCCATGTCTTCCCATCTCACTAGGTTTAACAGCCAAATCCTTACAGTGAGTGCCAAGACACCCCCTTCCTGCTCTGCCTTCCGCCTCCTACTTCTGCCCACCCTCCCCCTCTGCTCCAGTGTCACTGTCCCCCTTGCTGTTGCTGATGCTCCCAGTCCCCTCCGACCACAGGGCCTTTGCACGTGCCATTCCCTCTGCCTGGAAGGCTCTTCTCCCAGATATCATCGTGGCTTTCTCTCCAACCTCCTTTAAGTCTTTGCCCAAACGCCACTTTCTCAGTGAATCTTTTCTGCTTACTGCAATTAAAGGAGCAAAAACTCCCCCCAGCAGCGTTCCTTATTTTTCTTCATGTCACTTATCACCTAACATAGTGCCATGTACTGATTTATTTTGTTTAAAGTCTTCCTCCAGTGTAAGCTCCATGAGGAGAGGACTTTGTTTTTCTGTCTTGTGCCCTGTTATCTGTATGTCCCCAGTGACTAGAACCATGCCTTGCACACGGAGGTGCTCAAGAAAGTAGTTGTTGAAAGAATAAATGAGAGCATTCTTTCCTCTGCCCAGAAATCTGTTCTCCCTCTCCTTTTTCTGGGAGATCCTCTCCTTCCTCCAGGTCTCACCTCTTTAGGAAGCTTCTCTGACTCTCTCAGGCTGTGCCAGGGACTCCCCAGTGCCCGAGGCTGTCTCCTTACCAAACACATCCTAGTGACATGAATGTCTCTATCCACAGGTTTCTCCTCCTAGAAGAGGAACTCCCCTAGGGAATAGCCTGATTCTACTCCCAGAACAGGGCTCGGCTAATGCTACACCTCAGGAAATAGGTATTGGACACGTGAATGAATAAATGGAAAGAGAAAAGTCACACTGATTGATTGATTTAAAAAACTGAAGGATCAATTCAGCTGTCACCTCTTTGGGAAGTCCTCCCTGACCACCCTCCCCCGGGCTGGGTTAGTGCCTCCTCGAGGTTTCCTCAGTGCCCTGGGCTTCCTCTAATTTAGCACATCGTCCTGTAGTTTAAGTATCTGTGACTGTCCCTACCTTGAGGAGGTGCTTGAGGGTCAGGTTCACCTCTGGGTCCTGGGATTATTTAGCAAGCACATGACCGACCTGGTACAAAGTGTGTGCTCAACCGCGTGTGGGATTGAGGACAGAAGTCAGAGGAGGGACAAGTGGGGGGCGGAGAGAGGGAAAGAAACTGCCTCCATTCATGCCTCAGCTCCACTTACCTCATACAATTCCAGGGGGTAGTTACAAGCCTGGGGGAGAAGAAAGCCAGAGTCAGGGCCCCAAGAGAGGTAGGGTATTGTGTTAGAGCAGGGGCCAGTGGCTCCTAAAGCCCCCAAGCCATAGGGATGGACAGGAACTACAATTCCTTCAGACCCTGGGGCCAGAGTCCCCTAGAAGAGCAGAGGAAGGTGCCCCGGGGTCTTCTGGGAACTGTAGTTCAGGACGGATGGGCAACCGGCGGGTGGAGGGAAGCCCGGCCCTGAACTGTGGGAGGCTGGGCTGGGCTCCGGGGAAGCCGGGGTCTGGGTACCTCAAACTTCTGGAGGAGGCTGCAGTTGTCAGCATCGGCCACCGGCACATTGTAATATTCGCCCTCCTCCTGGTTCAGTAACTTGTACCTGACATACAGACGGAGACCAGAGCGGGGCAGGGGAGGGGAGGGACGGGGCACCCATGGGAGAGGCAAAGACATCCGAAGGGAGGCAAGAGACACAGAGAGACGGACACAGAGATGGAGAGAGAGAAAGAGTAAGATAAGGAGAGAGAGGGAGAAGGGGTGGATGGGGAGAGAGAGAGAGAGAGAGAGAGAGAGAGAGAGAGAGAGAGAGAGAGAGGTGAGCTGGGAGGTGGAGGGAAAGATAGTGGCCTGGAGGAGAGAGACCACACACAGACGGAGAGGGCGACACCGGGGTCGTCCCCAGGCCCCAGCCCCGCTCCTCACCAGCCGTCCACCGGTGCCTTGAGCAGTTCTGAGACGCCAAAGGACATGGCACCCATGAAGTCGTTGCGGGAAGTCCGGTCCCAGTCCCACACCTCCACGCTCAGCCGGCGCTCCACGTCCCCCGGCTTCAGGTTGCTGCGGGAATGCGGGCGATGAAGTGCGCGCCGAGCCCTCGGCTCCCGCGCTTCCGGGCCTGCTGCTGCAGGCGGGCGGCACCGATGCGCCAGGTCTGTCTCCTGCTCTGTGCAGTGTCCTCCCACCTCTGACCCTCCTGAAGGGCGTCCCTCTCCCCCTGTGGCTTCGGGCTGTAGGTAAACAGCCCTTTCTCAGTCCCCTGGCCCCGGCCCATCCCCGGCCCGGGTCTTGTTCTGAGAGTTCCCTCCCACTCTGAGCCTCTGCACCCCTCTCCTCCCTCCCTGCCAACCCACCACTCCCCTCCCTTCCTGTCTGCGTTCCTCCTCGGACCTCTTTTTGAGACCCTCTTCTCTCTCTCTTTCAGTCTCTGTCCCCCTTTCTGGTCCTTTTTCTCTAGGTAATTGCCTCTGTCTGCCTGTCCGTCTGTCTCTTTCTTTATGCACCTCCCCAATTCTTTTCTCTTTTCCTCCTCTGTGCTTTTCCTGGATATCATTTTCTCTCTAGGTTTATCTCTTCTCTGTCCCTCTCCCTACCTGTTCCTGCCTCCACCTCTCCGGGTATCTGTGTGTTTGCCTGTCCTCCTCTAAATCAATCTCTCTCCTTCCTTCCTTCCTTCCTTCTCCTTCCTCTCTTCTTCCTTCTTCCTTCCCTTCCTCCTTCTCCTTCCTCTTCTTCCTTCTTCCTTCCTTCCTTCCTCTCCCTCTGTTGCCCAGGCTAGAGTGAGTGCCATGGCATCATCCTAGCTCACAGCAACCTCAAACTCCTGGGCTCAAGCGATCCTCCCCTCTGGACCTCCCAGAGTGCTGGGATTACAGGTGTGAGCCACCGCGCTGGCACTTGTCTCTGTTTCTTGATTCTCTCTCTCTCTCTCATCTGTCTCGCTCTAAAGTGTGTGTGGGGGGAGGGACTTTTATGGAGATTAAATACACAGAGGTCAGTCTGTCTCTCAGTTCTCTCTCCAGCCTTCTCCCTTGATTACTCCTTTTTCCCACCATCTTCTTCTGCCCTTTTCTGGGTTCCAGTTATCCGAACCCTCCCATCAGCTGCACTTTGGGATCTTGTGGGCCACCAGGACTCTCAGATCGCTCTCTGTCGGTTATTACAGCCTCCCCCGCACCCGAGGCTCACAACACAAAAGTCTCGTTCCACACAGGGTTTAGCGTGGCTTTCACCGTCCGGGTCTTCTGTTTTGTCAGGTTCCGGGGGTCTGGGATGAGCTTCAGTTTCACATAGGGATCAGAGAGGCCATTGGGGTCCATCGGAATGAGGTTACGGGCTTCACCAACTAAGGGGGAGGTGAGGAAGGGTACATTGGGTTAGAGATCCAGAAAGGGGCTCCAGCCCTCCCCCGTCAGCAATCAAGAATGCCAGGCTCTCAGCCTCCTTTCTCATGACCTCTTAACGTCTCCAGTGCCCAGAAGATAGGCCGCGAAGCCCTTTCCCCAGCCAGCGACGCAGAAATCAGACCCGAGCCCTTCCCTCCATGGGAACCCAGAGTCTGGACCCTGGACATATCGCAGTAGCAAGTGGGAGCGTCCCTCAGAACCAAGTCCTCTCTCATCTCATCCCACCCTCTCAAGACCCCAAAAGGCCATTAAGAGGTGATGAAAGTGGCA